ATGCACGTAAAGACGTCCTTTTGAATTCAAATCAATGAATGGAGATCAATCTTCGAATGATCACTGTCCATTTTGCTTTTGGGTTTGATTCCCTGTTCTGCTAGGTGTAGACAATAATTTCACGGAAGGAGAACGTGTATAAATTTCGATTATTCGGTTTAACTAGATTAAAAAAAAAAAAAACTGAATTCCAACTTGAAAATCTAAAATATTTCGATTCGGGTTTTTTTAATTTTAATTTTTTAAATCGCATGGGACAATTTGTTTTGATTATTCGGTTTTCACGAAATAATAGCACTTCTAGTTTGAATAAATAATTTTTATGAGGTTTATAATAATTATATATATTAAAAAAATTTTAAAATAGTACAAATATCGGATTGGGTATGGGTTGCTAATCCCTTCACCAGCCCCTACATTCACTTCAAGTGAAACCGGTTTGAATTTTCACTCGATCTATTTTGATACCGATCAAACTAGATAAAATCCAAACCCAACCTAATTGAGTAGTGTTGGTATCAGATGGATTGAGTGAAATTGTCATCCATGCGTATACTACATCGGGTGTTGTACTCTAGGGTATCGTCTTGTCTTAATCACATTTACTAATTTTTGAATGTATAGGCAATTGAAAAGGCTCCATTTTTTTTTAAAAAAATTAAGGTACTTTCAAATCAATTTTTATATATTGAGATTAAGTTTTTTTTTTTTCATTTGAATTTTATGTGAGTCATCCATATCTAAAGTAATAAAAAGATTAATGGTTAAAGAGGTTTCTTTATTTTATTTTTTTTAATTATTGATGTATCTCTCTACTTTTGTTTCGTCTTAAATTCATCTATCTACATTCGATTCCTATCTTAATTTTATCCTTCCAATAACTTTTAGACTATAGTGTTAATTTTTTTCCTATCTTAATCTCATCCTTTTACTCTATTTTTCATCTTAATCTTAATTTTTTTATTGGATTTAAATAAATGAATTTTGAAAATAAAAATTGGATAAAAAGTAAAAATATATCCAATCATTCTCTCTAAAAATAATATAAAAAAAAGATAAAAAGAAAAGGTTGAAGATAAAAATATTTTTTTTATTCAAAATATCCTTTATGGGCTTAAATTTGTCTATGTGATAATAAATTAATTTTGAGTATAAAATCAAATATTTATACTATTTTTTTAAATGTGTCTCTATGATAGTAAGTAAATTTTAAGTATAAAATATTTATATTATTATTTGTTAAATATGAAAAGAGTTTTAGTTAAATTTTTAAAATTAAGAAATTTGTAAAAATAAATAATTAAATTATAGTAAACTCTTTTAAGGTATTATAAATACCATTTAAAAGTTTTAAATTTAAGTAAAATTTGTTAGGATTCGAAGCAATATCAAAAGAAATCGATGCGGTAAAAATAATATCATAAAAACAAAATTTGCTTCAAAATCCCACGAGATCCATGCGAAAATAGCAAATTCAAAGGATCGAGTCATTATCTCTTATAGCGCGAGATCACGTCTCTTGTTTGAAGGATGCACGATTTGCAAGCACAAGTCAACGGACTATGCCTCTATTGATATCCACATGAACGTCTCGATCACCAAAACAATTCGGAAGGAAGAGTCACCTCTTGTCAAAGTGCTAGCTACTATTTGTGGTGTTTAAAGGTTGAATCACTCTTCCTCTCAAGACTCGCTAGGGTTTCCTCTCAAGATTGCTAGGGTTTTTATCTCACATAATATTCGATTAAAAATTAATATTACGTGCTAGTTGTATTTTATAGGAACCAAAACATGTGTGAGCCCTAGTCTCGCTAGGTAACTAATTTCCTAACCCTAAGGAGAGAGAAAACTTGGATCGATTATTTTGACAAATTAATGTTTGATATCTCATATGGACAAACTAAGTTAGTGAATAAAATTTTGGTTAATTTATTTAGGATCTTTATGGAGAAAAACATAAGACAATGAGATTTGATTCTTTCTCAAGCCGAGCTTACCTAATCGGTTACTAAGTCAAACGACAAGAAAGAGTCTTTTTAAAGTAGTGTATGGCTGAAATCCTATTACTTCACTTGAGCTCATGTCAAAAACAACTCGGATTGAGTTCAATGCTGATTTTGAGGAGATGGATAAAGAGATTAAGAAGGTACGGAGTAATAAGTCCAAGATAAAATCATAAAGTAGAATAAGAAGTACTAAAAATAGTCTAACAAGTTTCGAAAACTCATTGCTTTCAAGGAGGGTGACTTGGTCTAGATTTATTTAAGAAAGGAAAGGTTTTTACTTCGACTATATGGCAAACTACATTGTTGAGGAGATGGAGTTTTTTGAGTGGTAGAGTGAATTAATGACAATATGTACAAGGTTGAGCTTTCAAAAGACTACATTGTTCCAACAACTTTCAATATAACGAGATCTTTCACCATACTATGATGAAGAAGAAAGTCAAGACATCGATGACGAGTCTTGTTTAATCTAAAAAGCTTGACAAAAGAGTGTGAGGCATTATTTGCATTGTTTATTTCATTCGGTTTTGTTATTTTTATGTTTAGCATTCGGATTTCTTTTTTGTATTGGATTATTATTTTTAGTTCTTAATTATTTGAGATTGGATTGATTAGTTTTTAGCTCTGAATTGTATCCTTTTGGGCTTAAGATTGTTTGGACTAAATTGTTGTCCCTTTAAGCTTCTTTTTTTTTTTTATTATTATCTTTAGGTTTATGGTATTTAATCTTTCCTTATGTGTTTTAGAAAAAAAGATATTATTATTATTATTGAATTGAATTCTTGAGAATCTTCTCTCAACTTGCGTTTACTCTTATGATTACCTTAGATTTTCGCGCTTCTTTATCCTTGGATAGGTCTTCCAAAGTGGTAATTTTGATCTTTATAAACTAAAGTTGTAGTAGAATTTTAAACCTTGTCAAAATTAACTAAGTCTAGGATTTTCTTTCATTAGATAATTTTTTTACATCTAGGGTTATAATTTGCAAATTCATTATTGTCTTCACAAATTTGATGTCATTTTTCATCTAGTTATTTAAAAATATTGTAAAGTGGCGGACATGGGATTTCAAACTTTCTTTTATTGGTCTTAGAATTTCATCTATAGAATACCTCTTCGTTCATTGGAGAAACAACAAGAAAATTCCCTTATAGTTGTTGTTTTCGGTTTTTAACTACACAAAGAGGCTAAATATCGTATTACATGTCGAAAGATCATCTTACCTAAAAAATTAAGTTGTTAGGTGAGATCCTATGATATGTTTTATTCTCTAACGCATCCCTTCAAGTAAAAGCCCCTTTGGGCTTGAAATTTGCACTGAGACCCATACCACCTTGTGCTTAATTAATTAGAAGATAAAGTAAGGGTGGTAAGATTCAAACTCGTGATCGTTTGGTCATGAAGGCTCGATACCATGTTAAAGGATCATCTTACCTAAAAGCTTAAGTTGTTAAGTGAAGCCTTAGGATATGATTTATATTATTTTCTAATATTACATGATCTTATGATGACAAAAGTGTCTATTCGGTCAAATCATGTTGTTTTTTGCTTAAAAATCATTTGTTAACTTGGGAACCTATTATTTGTTCTTATGTATGTAAAAACCTTGCTCTACCAAAGGTTAAAGCATTTAATTGATCGACTGCTTAGAAGAGGCTAAACACTAGGAGCTCACTAGTCTGCCATAGGTATACTAAGAGAGATCATATTTACCTTTTTGTGGACTCGATCGAAACAACTCAACATATCCTTCTACACTATGATGTTTTGTGGATTTTATGGTGTTGAACTATGCCTTGGTGGGATAGTATTTGGGTTATGCCTAGTTATGTTGATGACTATTTTCAAGAATGAGAATTTTTTTTGTATTGTTCATATGTAGAAAAAGGTTTGATTTTTAGTTCTTTGGTTGGTATGGATGGCAAGGAATGATAGGGTTTTCAATAATATTATGCCATATTGGGATTATATCTTTTTGCTCATTTTTCATAGGGTTGCTTACTAGGTGAAATATATATATGGGTGAAAATTTTACCTAAATAGGAAGTGATCTCCAACGATATTCAGATTTGTATTAAGTTGTGAACTAATCACAATTAATCATCCTAGATATTAGTCACCAATTGTCTAGTCTAAGCTTAGTCTAGGATCTTTGATATGGAATGCAGATGGTTTGTCTGTAGATAAATTTAGGACCTCAAGTATTTGAGGAATTTTTAAAAATCATCCAAGAATTTTCTTGTGTACTTTTTCTATTCTAAATGGAATCAACGAGTCAAATGAGATTGAGGTCCTAGCTATTAAGAAGGCTTTAGAGATTATTGCTTCAATCTATGCTCACCAGGTTAATTGAATTATTAAATCGGATTCAACTAATAAAATTGCTTGGATGAGTAACGATGTCTTTTTTATGCCTTAACAGCTTCATAAGCTTTTTAATTCTGTTGATGTTCTAATTAAATCTTTGAGTCCTATCTCTTTTATCATATTTCAAAAAGAGAATGCAGCTTATTCTTTAGTTAATACTAATCTTCGTAGAGACAATGATCTTATATATTGGTTATGGTGCCAGTTAGCTTTTATTATGGTGATTTTCTTATTTGTAATTATATAACTTGTAATGTTATCAACTACTAACAGAAAAAAAAAAAAAAAGTTACAACTTGAGATAACTAATTAAAGTACTTAACCACATAACTAAGGATAGATATTCATGAAAAAAACAAAAAAACAAAAAACTAAGGATAGATGCAGTTGTGTTACTAATGAATCCGCTTAAGAGAAACAGATCATAACTTGACACTTTGGTTGATGGCAACCTGATTTTCTGCAAAATCACAACGGAAATTTTTTCCAAGGATATGGAGGATTAGTTAGTTCCGTCGTCAACTTTTTGGAAACGGCGCGGGGGGAGGAACGGGAACTAGAGAGCAGCCTTTGTTGAAAAAAGCGAAAACAATTGAATGCATCTGTAAAATTTACAACTTTAATTGACTATTCCCATTCTAAAAGAAATGCTGTCTGCCGAGACATTTTCCACAAAACTACAGGATGCAAATTCGCTATCATCTAAATATATATATGAAAGCAGCAACTTGTTGAATCATGACAAAAATATATTGTTTCATCCGACATAGTTAATGTTCTACATCTCAAGGAATAGTTAAACAGTTCAATATATCAAAAAAATCAGGATAAAAATTAAGTGCTATAATGCTTTTTTTTTTTTTTTTTAAACCTAGTATATATAGTTGGAATTAGCGGTTAAAAAAATTGGTGTATATATGCGAACATAAGTTTTCTTTTTATGACTTGTTAAAAAAAAAAAAAACTCGAAATTTCAAAGCATTGTTATTAAGAAGGCTAGAATATTTTTAAAAAAATTAAAAATTACAAGGCACTAATAGTAAAGGGATAACAAAATAATTAGTTATTGATTTTTATTTAATTCAAAAAATAATACAAACTGATATTGCAAGCAATACCAGGTGATTAGTATTCATGAAAAGGCTGACTGATGATTATATATAAAGCTATTGCTCATGTGGTAACTATTAGAGTTATAATAATAATAATAATTTAGCAATTAGGAGCATACTTTTTTTTCTTTTTGAGAATAAATAGGAGGACATTTAGTGTAATTTATTATCTTCAAATTAAGCAAATTAATTATGCATTAATAAATTAAAGTTTGTTGGCATACGATTTGATTCTATTGTTTTTGTTAATAATTTATTAAGGCTAAGTGTTCATAAATAATTCAAAATGAAGAAAACCCTATTTATCTAGCGGCCAAAATGATTAAAGAAACCTTAAGCCCACGTTTAATTCGAGATATACTAATGAGTTTCCAACTGGGTAGTTTAACTTAATTTCTGTTATATAACAATTTATGGATAGGTTTTCAAATGCGGAATTAACTATACAAACCCCTTGTGATTTAACAAACTTTGTTTGGTCGCACTCAAACATAGAAAAGAGAAAGGCAAGCATATTGTCAAAAAGAGAGAAAGAAAAGGAGACCCTTATCAGAAAGCAACTTACAGTCTTCTTTAGATATTCCTTTGGACGGTTGTATAGATCTATAATCAACCATGCAATGACAGTAGCTATGTTTTTACAAGTCACAATCTTAGGTTGTTCCATCCAATTATATATGTTCTCTTGTCTAACCTTCCCTTTTCAATTTTTCGGCTCATAGTGGACCATTATTTTGTTGCATGTGTATATGAACAATTCCATGCGTTTTGGACTCTTCACTGACTTGCACACTACTTAAATCAACCAATCTACTGTATAGGCAACTAGTATACTTGTTAAGTATGTCGCAGAGCGGCTCGTTGACGGGACAATTGTTCAGTAAGTTTCTGAGTCTCAATCATAGAGGTGGGTTGGTGGGTCTCTCTGTTTTCCAATCAATCAAGCATACAGTAGTAATGCTTGCTTGGGAGAGTACTATTAGCCGACCGCATATAAACTCCACATGGTATCATCTATGACCATTTCCAAATGGTTGGCATGCATTCTTTTATGGATTTTCTAGATTAAATTTTAGAGTTAGTATTAAAAAAAAAATTTATTTGAATATATTAGGCTGATATGAATAATATATTTTAAAAATTATTCAAAAAATATATAATTTTGATTGTTGCGTAAATTAATTAAAAAAATACTTTTTATTGTACGAAAAACACTTTGAACCACTATTTTAGAGGGGGGATAAACTGTCAAAAGAGAAAGAAATAGTTCACGAGTGAAAATCAAAGTCTGTGAATGGCTCAAGAGGGTTATGGTCTATTGGGTTTGGTACTCACTAGCTAGATGGCATGGATCCATTCAAAACTATGCTATTTATGCACACATGTTAATTACTTAAAAAGTTTTGAATTTATTTTTTTCCCTTCATTTGCAAACTATATATTGATATATACAAGGTTAACATCAAACATTATCAATTAATTATCCACTTTTTCACTTATTTTTTTATAATATGACGCATTCTTGATCTCTCCTGTGGTACTAATTTGATACAGCTGAAACTTTTTTTTTCCTCCTCTCATAATTTAACGACAACCGTAGCCCATCAACCAAAATGTATAACTTTAAATATTTTTAAATAATCATCTCAATAAATTATTAGATAAGATTTCATCACATATCCTCTAGTAAAAATATCGAATTAGACTCTAGGGATAGATTTGTTTGAAACTTATACAAACCCGTTATTATTTTGTATTTAATTTTTTAAAATTAAAAATAATTAAGTCATATGTTAAAAAAATATTTTAATTCAAAAATTTAAACTATTATAAAATTTCAGAAGTAGTTTTATATTATTGTCTAACCAATATTACCTGATGCTGAAGACCATCTGTTAACTTTTCGTTGCAAGGCCTGAGGTATCACTCTCTGTTTTAATTCTATTTCTTGGCATATATATATATATATATATATATATATATATATAAGAAAAACACCACACTTTCAGTAATTGCTAACTCCTAACTCATCATTCTATTGATTATGGCTCAGACTCCATAGTATATTTGTAAAAATGTTGAAATGTACTGCAATTTTGGGGCATTATTTATAGAAGATCAATCTCCTGTAGCTTTTAGCACAGTCAAGATTACAGTGGTATTAGTATGAATTTATGCGAAATATAATTATGGTACGTAGCTATAGGTATATCTACGAAATATAATTATGGCAAAAAAGTGCATAAAACATCATAAACTGGTAAGAGACGGTTCATGAACGTGTCAAAATCAAAGGAAGTCGAGACTGATGGAAGGATATTTTTATAGGGTGGACAAAGTTTCTCAATTCGAACCCCACAAATGATGAAATTAGGTCCTCTTACTTTGATGTATGAACATAATCATGGGGTCCACTAATCAATTGATACAATTTATTTACCTCAATATTTAAGATATGATGGATGTCTATGCATGCCAATCAAATATATATATATAGTATTCTACCTACAGGGACATCGAATCCTAAAATAGATACCAAATTTCAAGTAACTACCATGATTGTGACTACACTATGATGTAACATAGTGTGTATATATATATATATATAGCAGCAGCATCCGGCTACCTCTGTATAATTTATCCATATGGAATAATAACTAGCCAGCATTATTGAGATGGAGACAGTATTTATTTAAAAAATTTCTTAACAAAAGAATCATGGCTGTATCTGCTCAACTAATTAGTTATCTATTATATATAGAAATTCACGATCGAACTACCTCGTGCTAAGAGTTCCTTTTTTGGTTTATGGGAAATGTACATTTTCTCATATCCGACATAAATTTGAATGTTTGAATCGTTAGTTTATTAAACAACACGAGTCAGTATAGTACTTTGGATTCTTGGAAACGTAATTGGGGATTTGAAATCTATACGAACAAAACGACTTAATCCGTTTGGCTGCTTTAAGGAATGAAACTATAGTATTTTTAATTTGCTTTCTTTATTAGGTGAGATTTTGGTTGGATCACGTCTAACCTACACTACAAAAAAAATAGAAAATTTGCGAGAGAAAATTAACAACGATCTCAAAACTGTCGTTAATTCAATAAAATTGTAGCGAGTTTGAATTGCGACGGTTTGAAGTACTTTAGTGAGGATTTTCACAACCGTCGTTAAATTGGTCCTAAAAAATCATAAAAATTAGCATCACTAATTCCAATTTTTTCAAAAAAATTTTCTAAAACCATTTTTGCGATGCTTTTTTAAAAAAACCGTTGCTAATTTCAATTGTTTTAAAATTTTTTCTAAAGTCATTTTTTAGACGGTTTTTGTAAAAAAAAAAATCGTCGCAAATTATGAAAATTAGCAATGGTTTTTTGCAACATTTTTTTCCAAAACAATCGTCGCTAATTCCAATTTTTTTTAAAAAAAAATTCTAAAGCCATTTTTCATGAAAATTAGCAACGGTTTTTACCCAAAAAATCGTCACTAATTCTAATTTTTTTAAAAATTTCTACGACCATTTTTGCGACGGTTTTTACGGAAAAACCTTCACAAATTACCAAATTAGGTCAAATCATTGGAGGGAAACGACTATTTTTCAAAATTTTTAGGCAATTAGTGACGGTTTTTTAAACCATCACTAAAACTTTCATCCTCTAAATACCATTACGCTCGAACATTTCCCCCAAAAAAATCTTCTTCCCTCTTTTCTTCTCCTTCGTTTCCAAGGTCGATTTCCCTTCCATTTCCATCAAATCTTCTCCCTCTACTTTATTTTCCTTCCAATCTCCTCCTCTCTCTCCTCCTTCCCTTTCTCCCCTCCATCTCTCCCCCTTTCTTCCTCATTTTCCTTTTCTTTCTTCCTTTCTCCCCCTTCCTCAACTTCCTATTTTCCAGACTAGTAACGAGTCCAACGTGAGCCCCTCTCCTCCTTGTATTGGTGAAAGGTTCTCCCTCATCTAACACCTTAATTACTTTTTTTTAACTTTTTTCAATTATTTACTTAATTTAATTGTTATTGTTAATTATGTTATTGTTATTGTTAATTTTTAATTTAGTTAGTTTCATTGTTAAGGAAAATTAATCGTTATTAATTTTTGTTAATTGTGAGAGTTTAATTGTTAATTTTATTGTTAAGAAAATTTTATTGTTATTAATTTTTGTTGTTAATTTAATTGTTAATTGATAATTATTAATCGCACATTGTTAATTTAGTTAGTTTATTGTTAAATGTTATTTATTAATTTAGTTAGTTTAATTGATAGTATTTTGGAAAGTTAATTATTTTAGAAAATTGTTAATAAGTTATTAGAAATATTTTAAATTTTTAGTAATTGCAAAAATCATTAATAATTAAAAAATTAATAAAATTTGAAATTATACTTAGTAATTAAGTTTATTTAGTTGTTGATTAAGTAAATGAGTTAAATAATTATAAAATTAATTAATTAATTAATTTTGTACAAAAAATAAAAAATACAAAGATGGAAGAACAATTCCCCTCCATTTCCTTCACAATTTTTTAGCATTTCCTAGCTATCCTAAACTAATTCTCCAATCTTGCTCGCTATACAGAGATGGTGTCGTGGAACCGTAGGAGCGAAACTAGTGGCGTAGGAGCTGGTCCTTCAAGATGTACGACGGGGTCGATTAGTCATAGAGAGCATGTAATACACATGGTAAGTATATATATATTATAATGATATCAAAATAATTAATTAAATATTTTAGTATATTTAATACATTTACATATATTTGTTTCAGTGTGAGGTGTTGGGTCGTGAACTTGATCCTCACGAGGTTTTCTTGAGGAATCATAAGAGAAAGATTGAAGATCAATATGTCTTCGTCAATCAACGGTCAAAAGTTATCGGTGTAAGATGTTAGTTTATAATGTTATTTTATACATATTAATTTATAACGTTATTTCACATAACTATTTAATATTATGTCTTTTACAATTATGCAGGAGATCGTAAATAAATTAATAAATGAGGAGGAGGTTGTTATCCGACAGACTAGGGGGACTTCATCGATCGACAACAACATTAATGAGATTTTTAGGAAGGTCGTTGGTGGAAGAGATAGTAAGTGAAAAAGGATATATGGACTTGGGTCACACGTATCTCATTATTACTCTAACGTCCGTACAACCTTCGGTTCAACAACATCACGATTCCATGTTGGTGATGAGGCACAATGAAAGGAAAGCGATGATTGAACTGTTGCAAATATACAAGAGATCCAAGAGCTACGGGGTATTGTCATAATGTTGTTGGCCACAATAAATGAGTTGGAGGAGTGCACTCGACAACAATATGTGATGATGACACAAATGTAGCAGATATTCCTGCAACATTTTCAGCAAGGTGGCAATTCATCCGTCGTGCCTAACACTAACAACGACTCCACCCAACCTCCAGACGATTCCACTCAACCTTCGAGTGACGAACTTGCTATTCTCTTTTAGTTATCATGTTTTCATGTAATAAAAAAAAACTTTTTACTTTTTTCAAGAATTTAATAATTGAATAATATTTATTATATTTTAATAGATTTTATAATAAAAACTATGAAATTTTAAAACATTACGTTTTGGGTATTTTGTGGGCTTTCAAACAGCAATTAGTTAATTTAAAATGAGGGTTACAAAAAACTGAAAATAATATCTTAGCGACGATTTTAACCATCGC